GTTAAAGGACAGAATGGACAGAACTTGATGTCAGGATGTGCAGTGTGGAGAGAATCAGGAGAATGACGGGTGACGCCTGTGTCTGGCTGAAGAATTTGAGTAGGAAGTGAGTAGCTCTGCAGGATGGGGAGGAAGGGAGCTGTGCCAAGGTGGCGGGGAGGTCACAGATCTCCCACAAGGACCCACACTGCAGCATGAATCTGGTTGCGAGGAGGCTGATTGCATCTTATCAATCTTGTAGGTGCCTAGTATCTAACAGAATGATAGTTTAGCTTTGGGTTAACAACAGGAGCTGTAACTGCCTAAGGAACGGAAATCTTAAATGCTTTTGTCAGCGTACAGGTAGATCTCTCCCCGTAGGCAAATCTGTGTAAGTAACAAAATTATAATCGGGTTGTCTGATCTGGGTGGGGCTGTAACAAGGGAACCTAGCCCTGGTATTGTGGCGGCTGTTGTTAGCCAAGGCATGACATCCGTGCTGTGCAGTTGTATGTGCCTAGTATGAAGAAACACATGTTTGACCTCAAAACCGTGTCTTGAGCATCCGTGTTGAAATGTTGCATGCCAAGGATGCCAAAGTGGGTTTCGTATCATGCCAGTACCTAACATGTGAGCTGGCGCATAGTAGGCATTCAGTGCATGTTGTGAAGGGGAGTCTAGGTTTCACAGCGGAGTGTTCTATGAATTGTTATTTGTGTCTCCTGGGGACGTGGAGAAGGGGTTGGCTGTGTCTAGCAGGTGTGGGCCAGCCCTGGTTCAAAACTTACAGAGCAGGGAGCTGATGTGGGCATCTCAAATAGAACCATTAGGAAGGGAGGGAGGGAGAGAAAGGGGGTTCAAATGTATCTGTCACCACACAAACAAATGAAAAGACCAGCTTCCTTTGCCTATTTTCATGCTGATATTCCAAACCTGTGTAAAGAGGCAAAACGCAGACACATGTAAAAGGCAGCTGTCCTGGCTGATGTGTCCACTGCGCAGGGTCTACGGAAATCTATTAAATTTCTCGTTTCCTTTCCTTTTACCATTGACTTTTCTCTTTGTATTGGGAAAGGCTTTTCTCCAGCTGACTTCTCTCTGCTCTTTAAAAAAAAATAAATAAAGAAAGAAATTACCTTCTCTTGCTAAAGTTTCTCTTTTTTATTTCATTTTAATATTTTGGATGAGAACAAACAATTGAATTTTTACCATAGGTAAAATTAGTAAGAGCTTTTTGGTGTGTGAGTTGCTTCCGCTATAAACTTAAAGAAAATCATAATTGTTTATTTTTGCTCATTAGTATACACATGTGATATATAGTTCTATTTTATTAAATTTATACGTATTTTGAGTTACATAATATTTTCTCAGATGATTACACTATGAAAAGTGATTTAGATAAATCTACAGAGAGGAAAAAACTCTCTAAATGGTGATGGTTGGGCTAGACTTCAAGTTCCTGGTGTGGATGCAGCATTAAAGCCTGTGATTGGTCGCTAGTTTTTTTGGACAGGGGCTCAGTTATACCTTTAAACTGAAGAGACGACTCTACTTTTTTGACCTATTTGTATGCTTGAGTTGTTACTGAGTTGTTCATGTGTCTTCTCCAGTAATCAGGATTTTGAGAACATCCTGATCATAGTTAAATATAACATTTGTATTAATAAGTGTTCCTTAGGACTTCTCTTTCACTCTTTTGCTTATTTTTGTTTTAAGCATTCATAGCATTTATGGGCTGTATCATATACTTATTATATTAAGAATGAGACTATTGATGTAGATACAGAATTATATATAGAATATATATGATTATAGATGCAGGATATATATACAGTGAGTGAAAAAATAATGGATTCTTTTTGAGTTAGAAGATATCTTAAAGAAAATCTTAGAGCGTTTTGTATGCCAAAAGTTGAGGTTAAAGAAATGGGTGACTTCTGAGTCTCCCAAAAGAAAAATTATGGTTTTTAAACATACAATTATGCTCATTCGGTGAAAAAGTATTTTTCAATATAATTTTGGAACATAAAATTAATGAACATTGACTCAGTAAACCAACTGACAAATAGTATAGTTTTTGTTTTCCTTAATAAAAGTTTAGCAGAAGACGGTGTTTGTAATGAACCCATCATTTTAACTACTTAATATCCTTTGCCATTTAAATAGATGTAGAAAAGGTTATCTGTTTAAACTAATTTTATTTTTTTTAAGATTTCATTTCTCTTTAGAGGGGGAAGGGAGGGAGAAGGGAAGACAGGGAGAGCAACATCAATGTGTGAGAGATACATCACTAGGTTGCCTCTCACACACCCTCAGCTGGGGATCTGGCCCAAAACCCAGGCATGTGCCCTGACTGGGAATCAGACGAGTGACTTTTTGATTCACAGGCTAGCACTCAAACTACTGAGCCACACCAGCCCAGGGAAAAGAAATTATTTCAAATCCACATTCTTTAATTAAGAAAAAATGCCTGAGTATATTTCTTTTTTTAAAAATATATTTTCTTGATTATGCCATTACAGTTGTCCCATTTCCCCCCTTCATTCCCCTCCACCCTGCACACCCCTCCCCCCAATCCCCCCTTTAGTTCATGTCCATGTGTCACAAGTTCTTTAGCTTCTACGTTTCCCATACTATTCTTGCCCTCCCCCTGTCTATTTTCTACCTATCATCTCTGCTACTTATTCTCTGTACCTTCTCCCCCCTTCTCCTCCTCCCACTCCCCTGTTGCTAACCCTCCATGTGATCTCCATTTCTATGGTTCCGCTCCTGATCTAGCTGTCCCCTTAGTTTGCTTTTGCTTTAGGTGTGGTTGTTAATAACTGTGAGTTTGCTGTCCGTTCACTGTTCACATTTTTAAACTCCTTTTTCTTAGATAAGTCCCTTTAACATTTCATATAATAAGGGCTTGGTGATGATGAACTCCTTGAACTTGACCTTATCTGAGAAGCACTTTATCTGCCCTTCCATTCTAAATGAAAGTTTTGCTGGATAGAGCAATCTTGGATGTAGGTCTGGATTTCATGACTTGGAATAGTTCTTTCCAGCCCCTCTTGCCTGTAAGGTGTCTTTTGAGAAATCAGCTGACAGTCTGATGGGAATTCCTTTGTAGGTGACTGTCCCCTTATCTCTTGCTGTTTCTAGGATTCTCTCCTTCATTTTAATCTTGGCTAATGTAATTATGATGTGCCTTTGTATTCTCCTTGGGTCCACCTTCTTTGGGACTCTCTGAACTTCTTGGAAGTCTGTTTCCTTTGCCAGATTGGGGAAGTTCTCCTTTATTATTTGTTCCAATAAGTTTTCCACTTGTTGTTCTCCTTCCCCTTCTGGTGCCCCTATAATTTGGATGTTGGATGTTTAAAGATGTCCTGGAGGTTCCTAAGCCTTTTCTCATTTTTTTGAATTCTTGTTTTTTATTCTTTTGTGTTTGGTCATTTTTTTCTTCCTTCTGGTCCACTCCACTGATTTGAGTCCCAGTTTTCTTTCCATCACTGTTCGTTCCCTGTGCATTTCCCTTCATTTCACTTAGTGTAGCCTTCATTTTTTCATCTAATTTGTGAGCAAAATCAACCAGTTCTGTGAGCATCCTGATCACCAGTGTTTTGAACTGTGCATCAGATAGGTTGGCTATCTGTTTGTCACTTATAAGTATTGGCTTGGGGGCTTTGAGCTGTTCTTCTGCTTGAGCCATAAGGTTCTGGGCAGGTCACACCTGTTGTGTATGAGGGGCGGAGCCTTAGGTGTTCACCAGGGTAGGGCAACCCAGCTGCTGGGCTGTGATGCTGTATGTGGGGGCGGGGTCAGAGAGGGAAAGGTGGCGTTTTTCCACTCTCTCTCGGATTTCAGTCCCCTCTGCCGCTTCCCACAAGCAAATTGGTCCCTTCTGGTGCTGGTTCCTGGGTGGGTGGGCTTGTGTACATTCTAGGACCCTGTGGGTCTCTCCAACGAACTCTCCTGTGAGCCCGGAAGCCTCTCCTGGCACCTCAATCCCTGAAAATTTTTCCAATTGGTGCTTTAGGCCGTAATTCCCATCACTGGGGCCCTGGGTTGCATGGTCTGTCTCACCGCTTGCTCCTTCACTTGGTTTATCTGTGCGCAAGTGTGTGACTGCGGTCAGCCCGCCACCTTGAGCCCTCACGAGGTCTGCCTGTTGCCACCCCACACCTGGGATCTGCCAACTGCCGCCTGCGCGCCTAGGTGAATCTGGCCGCTTTTTCCTGCTGGGACCCCTCTCTGCTGGCTACTGACTCTACCCCTCTTTCCAGTCTGGCTGAATGGTTCATTGTTGTTAGACTTCTGTAAAGTTCAGTTTTTTGTTTATTTTGGTCGTGTTTTTGTTTCTAAATCTTTGTTGTCCTTAAATTTGGTTGTGCGAGGAGGTACAGTATTTCTACCTACGCCTCCATCTTGGCTGGAAGTGCCTGAGTATATTTCTTTGAGCTGTCAAAACTCTTCCTTTTTGTGGTGCTTCATTAATTGAGTGAATGATTCTATAACTGAATATAATTTAGTCAGCTATGTGAAGATGTAGTGATTACCCTTTGATTAGGACTAGAATTTATAATTGGAAGGAGGAAAATAGTTTAATTTCTGTACATGAATATATTATTTTGTGATACCATTATTTCTTCCAGATGAAATTAAAAAAATCAGTTAATAGACTTTGGAACTAGGAAGTCCTTTAAATATAATGTGGTTCAACAACTCTATTTTATAGATAATGATATTGAGACCCAAAGTGTAGAGGAATTATGCAGGATGACACTTTCGATCTGGGTTACAAAACCCAGAGCTGACTTGTTTCTTTGTCTAGTGCTTTTCACTCTATGATGCCTGTCATTCCTAAAACTGATCTAGATGCCGTAAAAAAACAAAGGGAGGGCGGGAGATGCCAGAGGAGAAGGATGTGAACCCCTCTCATGGTGGACCTCTTCAATTTAGGAGTCCACTTAATGGGACTCCAGCATTTGTTCTTCCATGGCGGGGACATCATGCTAATAAAACTGATTTTTGCTTTTTAGGTGAGAGCTACGTATGTGCGTCGAACGAACCATTTCGTAAAGTTGATTACACCAAAAATACTAATCCGAACTGGTCTGTGAACATCAAGGGTGGGGCAACCCGTGCCGCGGCAGCTCCCTCCTCGGTGAAGAGCGAGGTGAAGGAAAGTAAAGATTTCATCAAACCCAAGTTAGTGACTGTGATCCGGAGTGGCGTGAAGCCTAGGAAAGCCGTGCGGATCCTTCTCAATAAGAAGACTGCTCATTCCTTTGAACAAGTCTTAACAGATATCACCGAAGCCATTAAACTAGACTCAGGAGTGGTCAAGAGGCTCTGCACACTGGACGGGAAGCAGGTGAGATGTTTCTAGCCCGCAGCTCCCTGTCCTTCTTTTAAACTCTCCTCGGCAGTTGCGTGTTCGGCAGTATGAGCCGTGCAGTCTGCTGGTTGTTCTTTCAGTAGTCCTACTTGAGAGGGGGTGGGGGGAGTGTTGTTTGCCTTTCTCATGAAAAGTATAACCAGCTCGCCTGTCTCTTTACCCAAATACGTCAGAAGTGCATACACAGAAATCTGTCCAAACTTCTCGTGGTCCCTGGAAGGGAAATATAAGCCACTGAGGGAAAAGTGTAAGTGGGATGTTCTTTTAACAATAAGGACATCTGGTGACTTAGTAGAGTCATTAGGGGTGTGGGTAAGCCATGGGGGTCAAAATTAAAGATATTTAGTATTTTTAGAAAAGTCTTTCCTCCTCACTCACTCGTAATATGGGAAATGCACTTAAAAGAAAATGCTTTCATAGGAATGTCCATATGAATTTCATAGGGAAGAATGGAGGCAATTAATCAGCATTTCTGAAAAAAATATACACATTACACAGGAAAATGCATGCCAAATTTATGGTAACAATATACTGGGAAGTCTAATGGGCTAAAAAAAAATGGGCAAATTGCAAGAACGCATGAATAGCAGTTACACAAATATCGAGTTTTGCCACAATCAGATTATCCTTCCTCAAAAGAAACATGTGCTTTCTGAAGGGTATTTTTCTCTAATTTACAATAAGGTTAACTTGTTTATATTTACATTGTATAAACATAGTTTCCAGCATTCAATTTGTTCATTTCATTTTGTTTCTTCTCTCGAAAATAAGTTATTTTGAAGTGTTTGGCTCATGTAGTGCTGAAAATGAATAATACAAAACACTGAAACAGTGTTTTCTGGGGGGGGGGAGTAGTTTTCTAAGACTGGATCTAGTTACTGGGTTGCTTTATGATTCATCAACAAAATTTTAAAAATAGGTTCTAAAAATTCCAGTACCCTATAGTGAAGTTGTGACTTTTCTAATTAATTAAATGAATGATTAGAAGGGAGCCTGCCCCAATACAGGTTCATAGTATGATTGGAAATAGGTGCTTTACAGGTAGAATAAAGAGCACAGTAAAGCCCACAACTCCGTAAGATTTACTCTGCAAGTAAGGGAAAATTAACTAGACTACAAGACGGGAGATTTGGTAAATCAAATAGCTAATTCTTGATGCACACAGGGAAGACCGTAACTATAGAGACAGATATTTAAGATGTCCAACAAAAGGAAAAGCAAAAATCCTATGTATGACCAATTAGATAATGTGTCACATCAACAGTACATGCAGATGAGATTTAAAAAATCGAAACTCAGTGCCCTGGCTGGTGTAGCTCAGTGGGTCGGGTGTTGTCCGACAAAGCAAAAGGTCGCCAGTTGGTTTTCCAGGCAGGGTACCTGCCTGGGTTTGGTCTCCAGTTGTGGGTTTGGTCTCCAGTTGGGGCACGTATTAGAGGCAACCAGTTGATGATTTTCACATCAGTGTTTCTCTCGCTCTCTTTCTCCTTCCCTTTCCCCTCTCTCTAAAAATAAGTCTTTAAAAAAACTGAAAATCAGATTTGGAAATCTTCAAATGAATGTTCTGCAGGGAAATCTTAAGTGAAATGAAGTTGTGCATTGAAATATGCTAGTTGTTAGTTGAAGTTGGTAATTGAAATAATACTCATTGAAATTTTATAGTTATCCAAAAAGTTATCTTCAGAAGGCTTCAGACTAGAAATATTTGTATGTAAAAATGTTAACTAAAGCACAAGCAACCCCAAATTATCTAAGGATAATGCACTGCTATCGAGTAGGATTTAGGAGAGGAGTTAGAGGGTGGCTCACTATTAAGAAACCTGTTGCCATGACCAGGTGGCTCAGTTATTTGGGATGTCATCCCACACACCAGAAAAGGTGTGGGTTCGATCCCTGGTCAGAGCACATACCTAGGTTGCCCTAGTGCGGGTGTGAATGGGAGGCAACCAATTGATGTCTCTCTCAAATCAGTAAACATCTCCTCAGGTGCGGATCAAAACTAATTTAAAAAAAGAAACCATGTTAATACGTGGGATCTAGAAGATAAAGTTATCGTGCATATAATCCACAAGATTATTGTGTAAGAAGATGTCACAGAAGGATCTGACAAAACACAAAATGTGTGTTCACTTAGGGATTTAGCAGTGCAAATGGAGGGGGAGTCAGAGAACTCAGAGGAAAAGTCTGTGTGTTGGTATTCAGATGAGATCCTGGAGGTATTTCTGTGATAATCAGGTCTAAGGTAAGGAGGTGTAATAGCACCGGTATTCAATGTTCTTCTCTGCATTCTTCCTGATTTTTATTTATAGTTTAACAGCAATTTCAATAAGAATTTAAATGAGTTTTGGGGAGGTGGAAAGAGGGCTACCTGACAAAGTGATTTTAAAAGGTAATCTGGAAAAATAGGAAATTTTTGGAAATAATGATTAACGGGCTCTCATGCTACCAGATATTAAACCACTGTTCTCATGCTATACCAAAAATAAATTCCAGGTGTGTTCAAAATATGGATGTCAAAAGGAAACAAAAGAACTAAAGGAAAAGGTGTCAATAGATATGTTGAAATGGGAAAGGATTTTCTAAGCATAAAAGTAGTGGGAAGATCACAAAGGGAAAGGCTGGTTACAACATAATAATCAGAACTTGCTAGGTATCACAGCCAGGGTGTGTACTTTTATATTGTTGTAGTTTAATATGAAACAGGTGCTTCAATGGTGAGATGAATTAAAGCTCAGACAGACTATTTGAAAGGTAGAATTATAAATACTAAGTATAAAAAAGTTCAGTCTAACTAAGTATGCATTAAAGCAATGAGATATTAATATTTAGAATTGACATGTTTTTGAAAGAGAAAATGTCCGTTATTTTCTAATGGGCAATGAATCGGCCTTCTCCCAGAATGATGGAAGTATCAGTTTCATATTCTTCATGGAAAGCAGTTTGTTTCGTTCAACTATACAAATGTTCTTACTTTTCAAATAAATAAATAAACTAACTTATAGGGATTTATCCTAAATAACCTGAGATGTGAACATACTTATGCATGAGAATTCATCCCAAAAATATGAGCAAAAGACTGGAAGCAATTTTAAATCAGTTCAATATATTACTATTTGAATTCATAGGAGTGGCCAGTGAAAATTGTTTTGGGGGGACTATGAAGACATGGGATAATGTTAAGTGAAAAAAAGCAAGAAAAAAACCCTTCTGTAGTATGGTTTCAACTTTGTGTGAAGAAAGAAAAGGAAAGTATTTTTTTTAAAAACTAATTCAGAAGGAAACACAATTATTGTTGCCATCACAAATCCAGTACTTGCTGTTTTGATTTTTACTACTTTTCTCTCATGTCTATTTAAAAAGCAAAAATTCAAGCACTGAGGAAGAAAATGAAGACTGATTTCAATCAGATTGTTTAAAACAATTAAAACATTGTGACTTAATCCTTGAAATTTTGGCATGTGGCTGTAAAATGCTACAAGCATCCCTTTTGTCACCGTCTATGTCTAAAATTATTTCTCCTGTGAAACAAAAGAGATACTCTTAAACTTCCTAATCAAACTTCTTTGGAAAAAATAATATAGTTTATTTTTAACAGACACAACTTCGGACGTGGTATTTTCAGAGTGCCAGGTGTCCTTCAAAGCTGTAGTTTTCCTGGCACTGATTCAACATCTGTATGGTCGGTGGACTTGCTGTTTCATCTGTTTTGTAGTTGATATTTATTATAAAGGGGATGTTAAATCCTGCTTTGACGTAGGCTAAAAATTTGCCTTATGCTTAAGATTAATGCAGATCTTTAAATGGGCAGTGTTCCTTCGATTTTATTTTATAAGTTGATTTTATGGGTATTTTATACATTGATTTTTTTCAGAAAGCAGAAAACTATCTGCTTTCTGAAAATTCTAAGAAAGGGCAGCTTTGCTTGGTTGAAGAGAAAGGAGTAAGAAAAAACTCCGATCTGTTAATGAGTTGCTCCTGCACAAAAGTTTGGTCCATCTTCCTTAACTTTTATGTTCCTTCCTACTCAGATTGGCTGTTTTCATCTGGAATCAAGCTGATCTTCAACAATTTGTAGGCAGTTCGTTACCAGCAGGCACCGATTCCATCCTGATACCAGTGTTAGAGTTTTAAGGGATGTGTGCCAGTGGCATTTGTGCAGGTAACACAGTGTCCCTTGAATCTTCTCTTCTGCCAGATGGATGGTCACGCCTTCCCGTAGTGCTGACTCCATGACAGGGTCTGACTTGGTTAGTTGTACAGCTGACTCATACATTTTATATCTCTTTAAGTTGCTTCAAGTAAGAGCAAGGGATTTTATCCATGTTCACTCTTGGGTTTTCTTTAATGTAGAGCAGTGGCTCTCCACTGGGTGCATTTTTGCTGTTGGGGACAGTTGACAGCATTTGGAATCATGTTTTGCTGTCGGGACTGGGGACAAGGCTGCTACCGGCATGTACTAGGTTGGGGCCAGGGGTGTCGCTCACCATCCCACAGCACACACGGCAGACACAGCATCGTTCTTTGGAATCCGAGGTGTCAACAGTGCCCAGATGCAGGAAATCGGGTGTAAAGTAAGTGAAAGGATTGAAAAGGAGATGATAGTTGTTTGAATATTAACTTTATCAATTAGGCCACATGCTAAACTTTATTTCAGCACTTACAGATTTCCTCAGAGCCTGTGCACTGTTTATCTAGTGGAAGCAAGTGTGCTAGAATGTCATGGTGTATAGTCTTTATTTTCCTGGATTTCTACTTATTTGTCTTGGTCGCGTGAGCCTTGTGTACAGTTGGGTGGTACGGCTTCACAGAGGGTTAAATGAAGATACCCCAAGTGGCTTGACATGTACTGAAAGGGAAGTCTTGGGGGGTGGGCTGGGATGGGAGTAAAAGACAGAAAACTGTATTCGAACAATAATTAAATTTAAAAAGATTTTAAAAAATAAAAAAGGAAGCTTAAAAAAAGAGAAGTCTAAAAA